ATGGGGGCAACAGGGTGTTCATTTCTGTACTGAAGATGGGCTTTAATTAGTTTTTTATTACAATATAAACTAGTTAAATTGTGTTTTTTTAGTATCTACTTCAATACTTTGTGATTTTTTGTATTTCAAATAAACTGTCAATGTTTAAGTGATACTAAACAGAGAAGTGTTACTTGCCATAATTCATTCATGTAAATCATTTATATCATGCCACTGCACTTTGTTTTTGTTTTGTTTTTTTTTTATCCTCAAAGTACCTTATTCCTGCAGCTTTTGTGTGGTCACATGACCTTTCCCTGTTTTTTGACATCTGCAGGGAATGATCCTTGCGAGGGGCTTTACTACAGTATGAGTCTGTATACACAGCCCTGATTGGTTGTGCCAGTCACATGACCATAAAAATGGTTTCAGAAAAGTAATTCAAATTAAATTATAAATTTAAAACAAACTACTTTATAGCTCCCTATACATCTTTATTGAACATCAAATGAATGTTGTTGTGTGCTATAACATGGTGCTGGCAGAGTCAGAGATGGTTGAACACTAGCTTTCACTTTGTTCAGATGCAGGGGCGGACTGACAACTCATGGGGCCCCCGGGCAATAGGGGATCATGGGGCCCCTGTGTCCTTACCCAAACTCAAAAAAGCCTATGAAAAAGGTACCAGGGGCATCTCACGGGGCCCCCTACTGACCCCGGGCCCTTGGGCAGTGCCCGAGTTTCCAAATGGTCAGTCCGCCCCTGTTCAGATGGTATCTGCATCCCAGGCTCTTTGTTTTAATTTACAGACATTAGCAATTACATTTGATATATATGTAATAATGATTTATTTTTAAACTAAGCTTTTTAGTGAGTTTCTTCGTGAATGTAATCAATCAGCATACTATATCCCACCCCCCAATTGTTTAGCAATAGGTGGACCTGGAGTAGGAGGGAGGGGAGTATAATTTAACACTGGGTATACGCCCATCTGTGTGACTCTGTAGTCATGTGGGCTGCACAGATAAGAAAAAAAGGAGGAATTAAGAGCTTCTAAGGCAGAAATTGGTGCTCTCAACCTGTGGGTCACGACCCCTTTGGGGGTCGAACGACCCTTTCACAGGGGTCCCCTAAGACCATCAGAAAACACATATTTCCGATGTGTAAAGAGCAGCTACTGTGTAGAAAGCAGCTGCTGTGTTGAAAGCAGCTACTCTCTTAAAAGCAGCTACTGTGCAATTGAAAGCAGCAGTATTGGAGGTAAAACGACACTTCATGAATTATAATTACTGGGTAAATAATTTTATGGTTGGGGGTCACCACAACATGAAGAACTGTATTAAAGGGTCACGGCATTAGGAAGGTTGAGAACCACTGTTCTAAGGGAACTGATATTGAGCATGCTCAGTAGAGGACACCAGCTTGTTTACACAGTCTCAGGCTGCAATGGGGATACAGACAAGATGGGAGGGAAAACTGAAGGCAGGATCAATCAGGTATATTTCGCTGTAAACAAAATTATACTTTAGTGACTTTGTGAGTATGCACACTCTGTTATATAGCATGTAATGAAAGTTTTCCATATTCTGGGTTTAATGACACTTTAATGACTTTGAAGTAATCAGTTTATAACTTCTGGAATTCTAGTTGCTTGGTTATAAACAAGTATGCAGATCAGGGGAGTATGAATGATCTCTAATCTGCATAGGCCTCATGCACATGGGTTAAAAACACCTCTTTTACAGGCATTTGATTTTTTTTTTCAGCCTGTAAAAGCACCTCTACATTAGCCTATGTGTCCATGCACACATAGGCATTTACAGGCGTATTAAAAGAGGAGCGTTTGCAGGTTGGAAAAAAAAAAAACATCAGCAGCACATTTAAGAGAGGAGATTGTAGACAGAAAATGACACACCTAAACGACGTCTAAACATGCCTAAACACTAGATGTGTTTAGCTCTTAATTGTTCGATCATTCCATTGGCCATAATAAATTAATATTCTGGCCAATGGAATGCATAAATACTCAAATGCTTCACATGCCTAAAGGCATGTCCAATACGTGGCTGTAGGCACATTTTTAAAGCTGATTTTTCCTGCCAGGAGTAAAAGACGTTCAGAGGAGAAATTCAAACGCACAGTGTGCATGAGGCCATACTTGTTTAGAGTCAGTAGTTGAACATGGCAGTTAAGTAGCTTGTATTATCAGAAGGGGGTAAACACAAAGTTAGAAATTATATATCCCCATGCCGCTCTAGCAAATCACTTCTATTAAATTGCAGAGCAGCTCACGCCTTTGTCGAATTACACAACTATATATCAGATTAAAAAAACAAATAGCGTAGAGATCCTTACCACAGGAAAATATATAAATACAAATAGATAATTATATGCCTTCTCTTAGTGTAAAAAACATAGCAATGTGCTTCCCTTTATATGAAACATAAAATAACATGCCTTTTTGTGGAAAAAAAAAAGTGTCTAAATCACCACATGCGTGAATAAATCAGCATCTATCATAATAAACATAAAAGTGCCCCAGTGACCATAACTATATATAATAAATTATAATGAAATATATAATAAATGCAGTGATTAATCAATACTACATACTGACCATAAATTGTATATGTACATAATAGCAACAGTCCCCAAGTGACAATAACAGTCTTACTAATCCACACTATTTGTGCATTTGCCAAAAAAACTCCAATCTTCCTTAAGCCGAGGTTCACATACAGTATATGCAGTCCGCTATATCGCATGTGATTCGCATCAGGAACCACCCGGCATTCATGTGCAAATCACATGCGATATGTGTGCGGTGCGATTGTAGCCATACATTTTGTGTGGCTCTAATCGCACCGCACCCGCACCAAACACGTGCAGGACCTTTTTTTTGGTCCGCACTAGAATCGGATCGCATGGGTATTCACACCTATGTGATCCAATTCTACATATCGCTCCACGTTTTCTGGACCGCTTTTGAGGTGTTGTTAACTTAACAACACACCCGCAGCGGTTCGCATGAACGGGGTGCGATTATGATACTGTCCAGAATTAACACAGAAAAAATGCTGCAAATTCCGCACCACATCAGTGTGAACCAGGTTCAGTGTCAGTAACAACACTCTGCCAGAGCACCACTCTTTTCCACCCTCATGCTCTTCAGGTGTGCCCTCACCTATTTAGATGGACCTCATTGATATTAAGAGATCATAACCAGCACAAGCACTCTCAGGTTTACACTGATAGGTCTCCTCTTTGGCAGCCAACTCCTCCCTCCTGTAGTTCCTATCCACCACTCTGGACACAACAGTGCTCATGGAGAGATACAAAGAGACTCCATAGTGCTCACTGTGTAAATGTATTTAAAAACAATAAAAGCACTCACATGGTTAAATGCAAAAAAAAAAAAATTGGTATCCAAATGTATACACAATTGCTGCATTGTTACCAGCCAACAATTTCTGTTTACACTGTGGAATCTTCACCTAGCTTGATGATGTCAAAAGCCACCCCCAACTGATGTGCTGTGTCCCAATTACACTTCATCAAAGGTAGCAAGTGGGAAAGCTTTGCACTGGGCAGCATAAAGAGAGGGAATATTTTTTTATAAATTTGACTGGGACTGTTCCCTAACTCTGGCCCCGATTCTGTGTTCATTTTCCTGCTCCAAGATATTGTCTCTTGCCTTCTAGCTGATTGTTCTCATCTATTTTGATATGCCAAGCATAAAGATAGAAAAGTGGCCTTTAAGCTGCCATTAATTGTGGTGTGCAATATTTATTCTTTTATGTAACAACCAAATTACATTACCGTTATTTAGCAGATAATTTCTCTGCCTTGAATACAGTGTGGAAAAAGTTATTAGAATATTTTTACTTTTCTAATGATTGATCCACATGACTTGGTGTTTGATGTGCTTTTCTCACAGATTATTTAATTAGCGGCAGGCTGTACAGAAAAATAGGGTAAATGTAATTAGCAGCCTGTTCTACAGCTAAATAAGAATCACAAAGCAAGGAGCGGAGCAGCTGTTATTATCTCATTTTAATTCCAGATATTTGTTTGGAATGAAAGTTGCACATTAATTTAATTTCCTAATAGAAGTTCTCTGATGATTACCACAAGTAATCCAGATATTTTAAAGCGTATTTAAAGCATATGGAATTCTGGAATATAGGAGACATGTAGGTAAGGTAGGTGTTTATATGCAGTGGGTATAGAAAAGAGTCACCCCCTTTAAAATAATCACATTTTGTTGCTTTGCAGCTTGAAATGAAGACAGACACAGTGTCTGTTTTATCCAGCTGTAGTTACTCAGTGCAACTTATAACATCCAAGTGAAAAATATAACACCAACATGACAGAAAAAAATAAACAGAATCACTGAGTTGAAAAAAGGATCACCCCCTTGTGTCAGTATTTTGCTGAACTACCTTTTGCTTTAATTCCAGCCTTTAGTCTGTTGGGATATGTCTCTACTAACTTTACACATCTAGATTTTGCAATCTTTGCCCACTCTTCTTATCAGAATTGCAGAAGTTCAGTTAAAGTGTTACTAAACCAACAACAGTAAAATCAGTCTGTATATGCAGCAAAGCGTGCTTCTTATACTCACTCTGGAATGTAAGGGGTTAATCCTCTGCATTCTGTAAAAACCCTGTTTGATCCTGACTTCTCTGAATTTCCCCATCTTCCAGTGCCCCCCTCTTATCTCCTGACCAGACATATTGTGTGGAGTCACTCTGCACATGATCAGTTTGGTGTGTATTGCAAAAGAGATTTTCTTTTTTTGGGAGAGTGCATGTAATCAGCACAGGGCCAATCAGCATTGACCAAACAGAGGTCAGGGGTTCTGCATCCTCCTGGAGCAAAATGAAAACTCCTCCTACAGGATTTAACCAGTGCTCTGCTGGACACTGATAGGAGTCATAAGACTGCTCTAACTGCTGATGAGAAAACGTATTTATCAGTTTATATTTTCTAAAATAAGTGCATTTCCATGTTTTGTGTACTGTGGGAGACCAGATATAGTGAATGCAGGGTCACCTGCACAGAAAATGGATAGAAAACTAACATTTTGAGTCACGAAAACAGGAATAGAGAAGAAATCTTGGGACAGGGACATTTGTTCCAGTAACAACAGTCTAAAAGAAAATTTCCCTTACGTTGGAGAGATTTCTTCTTACTTGATGCTGTGTATCTGCGACAGGAATAGAGTAGGACTTTTATAGGGAAATCAATAAAACCATCACTGAAAGAGCCAAGAACAGCAGTACACTCCAACTCCACTTCACAGGACTAGGATTATTGCTGAAGATGTGGTGTCTTCTGATAACGAACCTCAATAAACACCATTACTCTTGAATATGGCCATATGAATTACAAAATTTACACAACCTTCAGAACTTGATCACGACATTCATTGCCTCTTAAAGCGGAACTAAACCCTTCTTTCCTTTTAGCCAAGGAAGCTGCCATCTTAGCTTGTGTTTGATCTGCAACTGCTGCGGTGCTACACATGTGATCAGTTATGACACCAGCCATATGATGGTTTGACAGTTTGGTTGAAAGCACAAGCAGATGTAATATTTTCCTTTCCCAGCATGCCGGGAGTTTAACTGTTTTTTAATACCCTTAAATCGATGGGTTTAGTTCTTCTTTAAGGGCTCCATGTACACGGGGCATTTGGAAAACACTTCTGAACGATGGAAACTGACTGCTGGAAAACGTAGGTTAAAAAACGCCAGTTTAGCCGCATTTGTATACCGCGTTTATGTGCGTTTGTGTTTAGAAGCGTTTTTAAAAGATAACATCAGGAGACCTTCCCAAATGCCCAGAATGCACTGAAAAATAGTAAATAATTAACTATTTCAGACATTTTGAGAGACATAGAGAGAGCAGAAGCAGAGAGAGCAGTATGTGTTGAGATGACCTGTCTTTTCTGGGTGTATTCACTATGAATCCCATCATGAGCATAATGCAGCACGTTCTCTACCATTTTTTCCTTCACGCGAAACCTGGAACTGACTTCGCTGGTGTACTGGGTCCATTTGAATACATGGAAAATGCTTTGCATGCATTTCTGATGATGAAAAAAGGCTCTGGACAGCATCTGGATATGGGACAGTTAAAAAACGCTTCTAAACGCAAATGCTTATAAACGCAGTTAACTGCGCTTACATTTGTATGGTGTTTGAAACGCAGGTAAAATCTACTCCTGAACGCAAGTTTGGTGCTTTAAAAAAAACGACTGTAAACTCAACTGCCTGTAAACGACTGTAAAGGACGATGTGTACATGAACACATAGGAAAACATTAGGGAGAGTTCAGGGGCTGCTGAAAAAACTGCTGAACAGTCAGTTTAGGAGCTGCTGTGTACATGAGCCCTAAAGCAGAACCAGATCCATTGATTTAACTGCTTCCCCAAAACAATTACATTTAAGGCACTCAATAAATTACTGCCACAGTTGCTTGTGCTCTCAAAGTGTCAAGCCATCCAATGTCTGGTGAAAACTAATCAAATGTGCAGCAGCATGGCAACTGCAGACCAAACACAGCCTCAGATGGCAGCTTCCTTGGCTGTAAAGGAAATTACCGTATTTGCCGGCGTATAAGACGACTTTTTGACCCTTGAAAATCTTCTCAAAAGTCGGGGGTCGTCTTATACGCCGGTATACGGCATACTGACACTTTTTAGGGGGGCGGTGCGGTGCCGCCGCCGCCGCCCCCCCCTTCCAACGGAAGGGACACTAAGTACAGGGGTGGGCAGGGGCTGGTGTTTCTTACCTGGCTCCGGTCCCACTACGATCCGGTCCAGGATGCGCGGCTGCTCCTTCAGTTCAGCCACTGGATGTTTGCGTGGCTGCTCGGCTCCGCCTCCTCACCGGTGATTGGCTGCCAGAACTGTAGCTCAGGAAAGGCACACAGGCGGCCAATCACCGGCGAGGGGGCGGAGCCGAGCGGCCCCGTGAAAATCGAGTGCAGGAGCAGCAGGTAAGTGTGCCGTGTAGAGGTGCTGCTGCAACCACATATGCTGGCTGCAGCAGCACCATACTAGAACAGGGGTCAGCAAGTGTCATTGGTGTCAGTGGGAGGAATAGTGCCCCATCACTGATACCAATGATGGAGCACTATTCCTCCCACTGACACCAACGATGGGGCACTATTCCTCCCCCCCCCCACTGACACCAACGATGGGGCACTATTCCCCCCCCCCCCACTGACACCAATGATGGGCACTATTCCACCCCCCACTGACACCAATGATGGGGCACTATTCCACCCCCCACTGACACCAATGATGGGACACCATTCCTCCCACTGACACCAATGTTGGGACACTATTCCTCCCACAGACACCAATGATGGGGCACTATTTCCCCCCACTGATACTAATGATGGGGCACTATTCCTGCCACTGATACCAATGATGGGGCACTATTCCTGCCACTGATACCAATGATGGGGCATTATTCCTGCCACTGATACCAATGATGGGACACTATTCCTGCCACTGATACCAATGATGGGGCACTATTCCCCCACTGACACCAATGATGGGGCACCTATTTTTCCCAGTGATACTAATGATGGGGACTATTCCTCCCACTGATACCAATGATGGGGCATTATTCCTGCCACTAATACCAATGATGGGGCACTATTCCTGCCACTGATACCAATGATGGGGCACCTATTCCCCCCACTGATACTGATGATGGGGCACTATTCCTCCCACTGGTGTGCATTGGAAGAGGGGTAGTCTTATACGGCGAGTATAGCCCAAACACTACATTTTAGCAGGAAAAGTAGGGGGTCGTCTTATACGCCGGCAAATACGGTAAGTTTTAGTTTTGCTTTCAGGGCTCATGCACGTGAGAAGTGCAAGTTGAGATCAGGGGTGGACTGACAACTCATGGGGCCCCCAGGCAATAGGGGATCATGGGGCCCCTGTGTCCTTGCCCAAACTCAAAAAAGCCTATGAAAAAGGTACCAGGGGCATCTCATGGGGCCCCCTACTGACCCTGGGCCCTCGGGCAGTGCCCGAGTTTCCAAATGGTCAGTCCGCCCCTGGTTCAGATCGTTCTTCAGAGTGCATTTGACAAGCAGTGAGGAGATGTTGTATCGCCTCCTCACTGCCTACTTCAACCCCTTGATCCCAGCACTAGCACGCCATAACCGCACTCAATGTGTGTTTGGCAGTATGCATTCAGGGCCATGATTCCACGCATACTTCTTCAAAGAGTGAAAATCCATTAACTCTCTTCATTTTTGATCACAATTTTGGCAAAATCATCATGACTGCCAAGCAACAGCTGAAGAATACCATACTACTGGCACAGACGGTCTTAGCCATATTGAACATTAGGAATGAAACATTGGCAAATAATAATATAATTACTATGTTACATCACAAGTGGCTCCCAGTGTGAAAAAAGACAGCCGCAATCATTTCAGCTCGATTTTGGGTTCGACTGCTGCGATTTTAGTGCCAAAGAAGAAACACAGTTAATTAACAAGGAGATTGCTGTTTAATAATCAAATAAGCAGTTAATTATCATTTGGATGCCAGCTTGATTTGTAGCTTGTCTGCCTTTTACGACTGCTATAGGCAGGCTCCCTCAAGAGTACGATAATAAAGACACTGGTCCATTATATGTGAGCGTGGTCCCTATATCTCATACAAAAAATCCTCCCTGATCCATTCAATGAAGGTTTTGTTATTTGTTTTTTTGTCTACTACTGTGATGTGTTTCCCCATGTTGTTGTTTTTTTAATTATATTTAACATGGCATGCTAGTTTTGTCCCCCCATAATTGTTAGGCTGGGCTCAAGCCTTACATCCAGTTGTACCGGCTCCTCTTTTGTAATGAAATTGCTTACTCTGATTTCACTGCACACTGTGAGTTTCTTCCAGTGTGCATTAGAAGCTGCATCATCTCGATCCTTCCTCCCCAGCCGACTGTCTTTGGCCTGGTTCTTACATTTATTTGACTTCAATTATTTATATCATGGAGGCTCAGCATCACATGCGGCTATTACTTAGGGTGGTCTGCATGCAAATGCAGCCTTCCTAGGAATGCCTACTTCTCCATATTGACATCCATTCAGGACATTTTGATATTTTCATAACTTGCATAATTGGGAAGTTCACACAAACGACAACTATACCTTTCACTGTTTGTCCGAAGTTCAGTTTTAATAATTGTACTCATTGCCTGCCATTGCCCATGCTACTGTATTAGATTCCAGCCAAAAGCTCCATCCACCAACATTGAAGCAGTATTAAACCCAAAAGCAAACATTTATTATATTGCAGTTTACCATTTCTTAGATGTGATGGCTCCATTAGTGTTCTTTTTTTAAGTTGTATTTCCTTTATTTTCACCTGATGGCCATTAAGTCTGTTGCTGAAGATGTAGCAGTTAGAGGGATGAGACAAACATATTACCACTAACGGGGGCTTACAATAATCAGCTTTTATTTATTTATGTAAAATGTTTATCCCAAAAGAAACAAAACTGTTGCTGTAACTGTTTACTAAAGTGTTACTAAACCCACAACAGTAAAATCAGTCTGTATATGCAGTAAAGCATGCTTGTTATACTCACTGTGGAACCTAAGGGATAATCCTCCGTATTGTGTAAAAAGACTGTTTGATCCTGACTCCTCTGCCCCTCCTCTTGTTCAAGTGCCCACACTGATAAGACAGACTTTTTTTTTTCTTGGGAGAGTGCATGTGATCAGCACAGGGCCAATCAGCACTGTCCAGACAGCGGTCAGGGGATTTCCATCCTCCTAGAGAACTCCTGCTACAAGCTTTAATCAGTGCTCTGCTGAAGTCATAAGACTGCTGTAACTGCTGATGAGAAAAGGTATTTAGCAGTTTATATTTACTAAAATAATTGCATTTCCGTATTCTGCGTACTGTAGGAGACCAGATATAGCAAATGCAGGGTCCTGCGGGTCTGCAGTTTGGTTTCAATATGTTACTGTATCTAAATCTGCTAGTGCATCTAACACTCCCCACCCCCCATATTACCAAAGCTGCTTTCATCTGTTGCTCTTAAGGCCCCTATCATGGACGTTCCAATCGGACCACATGCCTGTTTTTTCAGACGGACGTGATCGGAACCTCTGTTCCCCACTGTGGCAGCAGCGGATGTAATCAGAAACGTGTCCTTTTACACACGGTGACATCCAATCCTATCTACCAAAAAGAGATGGATGGGGATTTGTTCCCCTTCCCTTGGATTGGATTGTATGGCAGTTGGATGGAGACAGACAAGCAGTCCACGTCCATCTGCCCACCTACAGAAGACTGTGGGCTGTGCCCATGTCCGCTCTGCATAAAGGGACCGAGAACACGCACCTGTCATCCGCTTGCTCAGCGGGGGATCAGCAGACAGATCCCCCTCTGAGCAATTGGATCCGCTGACGGGTCCGTCCCATGTGAAACGGGCCTTAATCCAGACTGTAGGCACTCTAAGACAGAGTGTTTGTTACTGGCCAGATCACCAGGTAAAAACAAAGGGAAAAAAGCATAAAAAAGAAAACTAATGCAGCCACCACATCTAAGGACTGGTAAGCTGCAATACATTACATTTTTGATATTGGGTTTAATATCACTTTAAGAGGGATAATCAACTCTAAAGCTACCCAATAAAGTACCAATGGTAGCCTGCCTAAAATATATATTCATCCTGATTGAAAGACTTCTAATTAAAAATTACAATATTATTTAACCATTCTATAGAACAAATGAATACATTGGGCAATTAAAAAGTGAAAGCGAATCCCCATTCCCTGTAAAGAATAGATGTCTATGTGGAGTTTTTCTCCCGTAGTTTGAACTAGAATGTGCGGTGCAGTTAGCCATGCATGCGATGCTATAATTAGCTTCTTTACACAGAAGAAAAAGTCAATAGGCAGCTTTGCAGAAATTACTCTGCACTTTGCTCCCGGAGTGAGTTTCAGCACTTTGCGATCCAAATTAACATGACCTTTCCCTTACAAGAAGCCCTATATATCTATCTTGTTAAATCAACACGGAAACCTCTGAAACAAGAAAAAGACAGGAAAGAGCCAGAGCTAATAAAATGGGAACAGATCCAAGAATAAAAAATATTCTGAAGGAAAAAAAAGTCTGCTAATTTTTATAACAAGAAAGGACGGACATTCATAGCAGGGTTTTACCTGGATTAGGAAATATACAGAAAATAAATGATGGCCAGCACCAACAACACTCATTACAGGCTAGATACATCACTTTACTTACTCCTCTATGTGACACTTCCAAAAGCTTTGTGTTTTAGGCTTCACAATTATTTTTCAAAGGATGGGGAAGATAGCCAAGTTCCAACCCCCAACTAGGGGGGCTAGTATACTCTTTGTCTTAAGAGTTACTACTTAAAGGGTAACTTTCGTGGGAATAAAAAAAAGCAAAAAAAATATTAATAATGTAGCGTGCATAATTGTGACACAAGTCATAGCCCTGGTTCACCACTGCGACTTCAGTTGCGGCATGCAATTTACAAATCGCACCTGAAGTCGCATCTATTGTAGATCTATGGCACTGTCCTAATAGGTGTGATTTGAAAAATAGTTCCTGCATCACTTTTTCAGCACTTAAAGTGTTACTAAACCCAGGACCCTGCATTCACTATATCTGGTATCCCACAGTACACAGAACATGGAAATGCAAATGTTTTAGTAAATATAAATTGCTAAATACATTTTCCCATCAGAAGTATATAGCAGTTTTGTGACTTCTATCTATGTCCAGTTGAGCACTGGTTAAAGTTTGTACGAGGAGTTTTCATTCTCCTCTGTCCTATGAGGTTGCATAACTCTTGACTGGGATTGGGGACAGCAGAAGAAGGGGAGGATCAGAGAAGACAGGATCAAACATCCTTTTTACACAATATGGAGGATTAACCCCTTAGGTTCCACAGTGAGTATAACAAGCATTATTTGCTGCATATACAGACTGATTTTACTGTTGTGGGTTTAGTAACACTTTAACCCTTTTTCCGGAGTCGTTCCCTAAACCTTCTTGGTATGGGAGGGCCTGTTGATAGCTATGTTGCTGATAGTATAGTCTGGGGATCATTAGACCATGGAAATCCGACCCCTCATTCAAAGAAGGGATAACTTTAATGGTCAGTAAATATAGCAGGTGTAAAAAGTATATAACTCTGTTTACCCTGAGGTCCCAAGAAATGTCCTTTCAGGTGCGATGATAGTCCATTTACATGATTGAAAATTCCAAAGTACTTCTTGGACAGAGAAGAAGGGAACAGCCCAAAAGCTTGTCCTGAAAATGTCACTGTTAGTTAACAAGTATCACGGACAGCATGCAATTGTTTTGCTGCAAGAGCACTAACATGGCTGCAATCATCTATAGCAAAGTCCCCAAGCAAGTTCTTTTCAGGTTATTTTATTTTAAGAACTGCAGATCTTGAGAAAGAGGGTGAGAGAATATAGAATGTATGACATACACCCTGTTCACAATGCAGGCTTCTGCACTTCTTCTCTATGTACGTCCAGTCTTCGATGGCTAGGAGCAATCTTAAAGAGATTTAATACATTAAGATGAAACTAAATACCTCAAGTGTAGAGAGGGACAAATCTCAAATAGATGTATGGTAACAGCACTCAATCCCGGATTGCAAAAATGGCATAGCACTCTGTTTCCAGGTAACACTGTTCAGATCCCCACTAGATAGATATGAGCTAGCTCATACATATCAGGCAGTATCACTCACTCAAAGAGAGAAAAACAAGGAGAATGCCAATAATAAAGTGTGTTCCAACACCATTTGTTAAAAGATTACAGAATGTACTCACAAGCAAAGACTAGATGAAAGCATATCATAGACACCCGCAGGTTCTCAGGGCGGAGTTGATGATGTCATAGCTAAGCTCCACCCAAAGCATTTCTCAGGTTCTCAGGGCAGATGTGATGATGTCATAGCTAAGCTCCACCCAAAGCATTTCTCAGGTTCTCAGCGCAGACGTGATTATGTCATAGCTAAGCTCCACCCAAAGCATTTCTCAGGTTCTCAGGGTAGACATGATGATGTCATAGCTAAGCTCCACCCAAAGCATTTCTCAGGTTCTTAGAGCGGATGTGATGATGTCATAGCTAAAGTCCACCCAAAGCATTTCTCAGGTTCTCAGGGTGGACGTGATGATGTCATAGCTAAGCTCCACCCAAAGCATTTCTCAGGTTCTCAGGGCGGACGTGATTATGTCATAGCTAAGCTCCACCCAAAGCATTTTTCAGGTTCTCAGGGTAGGCGTGATGATGTCATAGCTAGCTCCACCCAAAGCATTTCTCAGGTTCTTAGAGCGTACGTGAAGATGTCATAGCTAAGGTCCACCCAAAGCATTTCTCAGGTTCTCAGGGTAGACGTGATGATGTCTTAGCTAAGCTCCACCCAAAGCATTTCTCAGTTTCTCAGGGCGGACGTGATTATGTCATAGCTAAGCTCCACCCAAAGCATTTCTCAGGTTCTCAGGGTAGACATGATGATGTCATAGCTAAGCTCCACCCAAAGCATTTCTCAGGTTCTTAGAGCGGACGTGATGATGTCATAGCTAAAGTCCACCCAAAGCATTTCTCAGGTTCTCAGGGTGGACGTGATGATGTCATAGCTAAGCTCCACCCAAAGCATCTTCCACGGAGCTATGCAGTACAGAGTAGCCCCTTGGAAGACGTCATATATGACGAAAGATGCTTTAAAACAAAAGATGTGCAAGGACTTAAAGTTCATCACAGTTCATCTTCTTTAGAACACAGCAAGAGGCAAAGTAGAAAAGCCTTTCTCAGCATGCTGTTATGAAGGACTCTTGCCTTCTGTGGAGAAGTAGTAGTCTCTCCGCTGAGGTCAGAAATCCACCCCTCCCCCCCCCACACCTTCTTAGATCAAAGATAGAGCTTTCCAAATAGAAAAGCTCCTGCTCCCTGCTGGTTGGAAAGTTCTAGCTATGACTTTGCTGGGGTGCGGTAGACCCCTGCTGAGAGATCACTACTTCCACAAAAGAGCTCAGGTCCTTTTCTGCAACAGGCTGGCAGCAGAGGACACAATTATTTATCCCTTAAAGCGTAAGCTGAACTTCAAAAGGAAGCCAATATCCGTCTCCATATTTTCCTTTAAAGATTTCCTTTATGGTGGAGTAAATTCCCACTGGATACTTGTACCTACAGGTAAGCTTATAATGAAACTTACCTGTAGGTACAAGGAATATCTCCTCATCATGCACCCTTTAGGAGATATTTGGTGTCCCTGCAGCCGGTGATATCACCAGCACATGCAATCTGAAGGAATGGCACACCCATGCCGTTCCTTCAGAGCTCTGTGCCGTGGCCAAGACTTCATTGACATTATTGTGGCTCAGCCAATCAAGTGGCTAGAGCCCACGAACCTGGAAGGAAGACCTAGTGAAGATGGAAGTCCTGTCAGGGATGACAGCGTGCCACTGGAGGGATTAATTCTAAGGTAAGTCTTTTCACATGCATGCTAGCACATTATGACGTTACCTTGCAGGGAAAAGATTTTTTTTTTTTGTTTTGTTTTACAAGTCAAGTTTACTACCACTTGATTAAAATGTATATGAACAATGGTAATTTGGACAATTTTGAATGCATTCAATAACTTGGATTAATGTGGACTTTCCCTAAAAAATAAAAAAAATATATAATAAAATAAACTGCCATGTATTGATATGTTTTTATTTATCCCTTCTAAAATCTATAGTTAACAACAGCACTACTATGGATAGTTGAAAAGTATTGGCGAGCCTTTTTTTCTCTGACACTAAGGGAGTAGGATCGCTCTGAGCCTTCTTCCTTGACGTATCTTTCCAATAAATGTTAATTGCTTTCTTGTTTATTTTCCCTGGTAGCTACTGTAATGTTTTGTTTTGTCTAGATGTGTTTCTATAGTTACTTTGCATTCAAGG